TTCGTCTATTTATTTTTTGCCTATATGCTAAATCATTATTGAATGATAATTAATTATTGGAAACTTCGTAAGATAGTTTAAAAAAAAAACAATTATTTATCTATTAGATCTGAAAATTGTCACAAAAAACGAGTTTTATATTATTGATTACGCTGAAATAGTCTGAAATATTTGCCTCACGTACTTTCCTCGGACCTGATGGATAAATAATTGTTATTTCCTGTTTTTAGAAGGTCCTACGAATAATTCCTAATGATTAAAGGTTTCGTATCTATACTTTGTTCAACAACAGATTAATCATTCTTATAAGGGAAACAATATATTGGGCAAAGTGAAGATGATTCTGTATCTATATGTAAATACGATTTCAGGCTTAGAAAATTGAATAATATCAACATCCTCACTTTTTTCGCTACGCCGCCATTTGTGCGCGAAGGATAGTTAATCTCGTTGAAATGATCTCCTTTACATCTTCAATTAATATTGAATATATAATTTTTTGAAATAATAATACTACAATATTATAAAAAAAAATCTTATCAAAAATTTACATTTAACAATATGATATTTGAATGTTAATGCTTAAAAAAAATTAACAATCTTGCGTTGTGCATTGATATAAATATCTCACACATATCGTTCAATGGATGTCATGTAGATGTCATAATTTGTGTATAAAAGTCGATTTTAAATACGAGTATAAATATTTACTTAAATTCTATTCACATTTTTCTATTGATTTATACTACAATATTTTACTGTCTATGTTATGTTGCGTTGCTAATTGTAAGCCAAATGACGTACAGATATTACTTTTGTGCGATATGCACATTGCGATGGAGTGTGCTGTGTGAGACATTATTATGAAAAGTTTGCTCTTATATTATAATATACATTCAACTTACCGGTAAATTTAATATTTTTTCAGGCCTTTTGTTCATATTTAATCCTTTTTTCGGCCGCATTAACAGAAATACTTCACGAACATCTGGACAAGATCGTAATATCTTTTCGATAAAAACTTGACCCAGAAATCCTGTTGCACTAGTCAAAAGTATACTTTGTATACTTTTACCAGCGTAAAATGTAGGAATCGACTTGATTGGATCAATAGTCATCATGTCCATTATTTAAGTTTGCCTTCAAATTATGTTTAGCTAATTTATTGATTTTTATCATCTTATTATTCTAGCTGTAATTAAAAAAATATGTTTTAATAAATTTTACTTTCGTTGAGTTTTAACATGAAAAATAACGCGACAAATGTGTATATATTACCATAGCTCTTTATATCAGACTAAGTATATTCATTATCTGAAGATTTGACCTGTTGAATTCGAATCTATTTTGTGTTATTATTATTATTATTAGGCGTTAGGAACTCGAAAGCTCATTGCCGCAAATACCAAATCCCGCCACTGTTCCCGTCCCTGAGCCAGATCCCTCCATTTGTGACCCTCGTACCCCATTTCGTTAAGGTCCATTCTAATATTTTCTTCCCATCTACGTCTTGGTCTATCCAATGGTCTCTTCCCATCCGGTTTACCAATTAGTACTTTATATGCAATTCGATTCTCATCCATACGCGCCGCGTGACCTGCCCATCTTAATCGACGCGATTTTATGACATTAATAATATCCGGACTATTATATAATTGATGTAATTCTGCGTTGTGTAATTTTCTCCATTCGCCCGTTTCCTCATCGCGTTTTGCCCCGATGATTTTTCGAAGTACTTTATTTTCGAAAGCCCTAAATCTTTTCTTGTCTTGTAATGTAAGTGACCACGCTTCGCTGCCATAAAGGACTACCGGTAAAATAATCGTTCTGTAAATTCTAATTTTTAAGCGCCTAGACAATATCCGCGAACCGAGTAGTTTCTTAACCGAATAGAAGCACGCATTCCCCAAATTAATTCTTCTCTTGAGCTCTTCTCTTATTTCATTAGTTTGGTTTAAAATCGATCCTAAATACTTAAAATTGCTAACCCGTTCAAAAATTTTATCACAGACGACCAGGTTTCCGTTATTATGAATATTCTGAATTCTATCAGTGACCATATATTTAGTTTTTTCAACGTTTATTTGCAGCCCCAGTTCTTTCGTTTTATCTAATAGAATTTTAGCGTTATTTATTAGTGTTTCTTTATTATCTCCCAACAAAGCAATATCGTCCGCATATGTTAATATTTGTGTTGTACCGTTCAACTGCAAACCATCATTACTCTTCTGCATTTCTTTAATAGCATATTCCAATACTAGATTAAACAGAAGAGGTGACAATGCATCCCCCTGCTTTAATCCGCTATGAATATTAAAAGTTTCCGACATTTGATTACCTATTCTTACTCTACCTCTGGTATCTTTTAAACAAACTTGGACTAAGTTAGCCAATTTTTTGGGTATCCCCCACCGAGTTAAAATTTCATACATTTTCTCCCGTTTTATCGAATCATACGCTTTTTTAAAATCAATGTAAAGTTGATGTACCGATTGGTCGAATTCCCATTTTTTCTCCAAGATTTGCCGAATAGTAAAGATTTGGTCCGCAGTCGATCTATTTCTCCTAAAGCCGCATTGATGATCTCCAATTATCTCATCTGCATATGGTACAAGCCTCATTAATAAAATATTCGACAGAATTTTATAGCATGTAGGTAAAAGTGAGATACCCCGGTAATTATTACAACTCATTTTGTCCCCCTTTTTGAAAATCGGGATTATAATTGAATCTTTCCATTGTTCCGGCAATGCTTCTTTATTCCATATTAAGATAATTAATTTCTGAATTTCTTCTATCAATCTACTTCCCCCCCATTTAATCAGTTCCGCCGGAATCAAGTCATTACCCGGTGCTTTGTGATTTTTTAATTTTTTAATCGCGCTTTCTACTTCTGAAATTGTCGGTTCGTTAATCCTAGGTTCAGCCGTGTGATACTCAAAATTCTCTATTTCCCGGTCGTTTTCAGATTCGACATTCAATAACCGATCAAAATAATTTTTCCATGTGTTTAAAACTGCCGTTGTATCCGTAACTAAATTATCGTTCTCATCTTTCATCTATTTTGTGTTGTGTGTGCTAATCAATTTTGAAATAAATTGTTGAAATAAAATTAACTTTAATTTATGTTTTGCAATTAACATATTTTTATTAATATTAGTTATTAGTTTTTTACTATTATATTAATTATAAGTTTTACATATGTAGATATTATTTATTGTCATAAGTTTTCTTTGCTAAAGAAAGGCCTTGAGAACTTGCAAGTCAATTTTTTAAGATCACATAAAGATTATTTTTACATCATGAATTAAATAATTATTTTTACATAATCTACGTTCTTTCATTAAAAATCATCTTTTTCAAAATATAATAATTTCAACAATTTTCAATAAAATTAAGTTATTACACTCTCAATAATTAATAGAGTAATGTTGTTTAATGCATTTGTGATAATAATTAACAAATCATATGTTTGCGTTGTGTCACTTTTGAAATAATGAAGCGATATAATATTATTAGCTGATGCATCAAAAATTTTTTGAATAAGCGAAAATAAATTAAAATAGAATAAAATTTTATCTATACAAATACGTATTTTAAATAAAAAAAAAACATTTTTTGGATTTAATTGGATTCAATTAGATTCAATTAGATTCAACTGGATTCAATTAAATAGAAAAATTACATTTTCTAATCAGAATTTTTAATTAAGAGATACTTATAAAACACAAGAGAAGGCGATGTTATTTTTGGAAGCCATAGAAATATACTTCATACAATTCCTATAAATAAATGAAAATGCATTTGCATTTATCATAATATTCACGAATACATATTAAGATTTTTCAGAAATCTAAATCCATTTCAATCCATTCTCATTTACAGACCAATTATAAATTGAGGAAAAGAGGATTGGAAATTGACAAAGTTGGTGTTAAGTTAAAAAGATAAAAGTTAAGTTATAAAGTTAAAAAGTTAATTAATCTTAACTTAACTCAGCTACATTTTAAACTCTTGAATTTTTAACGTTATTTAGTTACATTTTATCCGTAACTATTAATATTTTATTTAATTCTTTGAAGTTATGTCTTAGACCTAATACGCGGCAATAGCGATAACTTAAAACAAGGTGAAAATTGCAAAAATGAACAAATTTACTAGGTGTTGATCAATGAAATTATACATATTCCAATGAATTTGCTCACTTTTGTAATTTTTACATCATTTCAAATTACACAATCAACCCCCAGATTTCAATCTGTTACAAATCGTACATTTCTATGTATTAATCGTGTATTTCAATGTATCTAGTTTCTGATAGGTTGAAATCTATTATTCCTTATTACTATCGCTATTCCCTTGTATTGTGTCTGAAGCTTTAGTCATATTAGAGGACAGTATTCATAGTCAAATGTTACATACTAAATAATATATATAAATAAAATATGTAAATAAAATATAGAGTATTTCCTAAATAAAATATATTTGTCATTTCCGTTATTTGTAAGATTAGAATCGTAAATAAAAAAAATCTGGAAATTGAATTAAATAATGCATAAGTTTATTTACATTTATACATTGATTTATATATTGTAAGCTCAATCAATCTTATAAATAATTGCAATATTATATATATATTAAAGACAACAAACATTGTCTACGCACGTAACTACAAGTTGCTTTTTATATTATTATTATTATTATTATTAGGCGTTAGGAACTCGAAAGCTCATTGCCGCAAATACCAAATCCCGCCACTTTCTTTTTATTTCTGTGCTTTTTATATAGACATTAAAAATACAAAAGGTTTTATTCTTATATAAATGATACTTTATTCGCTGCTTTATATAATTACCTTCTGTATTATATAAATATTCACAAAAAATTTAATTCTAAATAATAAACAATCCCACTATTTTTAAAATACAATAAGTCCTCCAAGATAAACATCTTTTAATTTAAAAATTATCTTTTTTGAGCATAATATATATCTATTCGTCGTAAAATATAATTTGATAAATATGGATAAGTCTAAATCAGCAATTTTATAATGTACCGAAAAAGATCCACTTATATATTATCCACAGTAATCCAATAAATGTAATAGTTTTTACTATTGTGACGAGCAAATACACTCTAGAAAATAAAAGAAATGCGATTAATATACACATTCAAAGATTAATATGCACATTCATAGATTATATACTACTCAACAAAAATGTACGCCCAAAATTGCGCAATATTCAGAAAATCATAACTCGATGAAAAATTATAGTAGACCACAAATCAAAAAACATTAAAAAACTCGAAATTTCTACTTTCGAATTCGATAATTGCTATTTCAAGTTGACTGATTATTCATGGAGATATACGGATACAAGTAGATATTCGTCAAATCTGAAAAAGTTTTACAAACTTTACGAAGATCTATGGCGTGAAATAAAATTCACACAAAAATGCGATTTATGGCAGTCTAAAGAACGAATCTTTACCTTCAATTTGCTTTTCTATTGAGTGCTATTGAACGTTGAAGCGAAAGAGGTTTTTTTTGCTTCAATATTCAATAGCTCGGTGAAGAAAAATCTTACAGCACTCAATAAAATAGCAAATTGAAGGTAAAGATTCACTCTTTGGACTGCTGTAAATTCCATGTTTGTGTGATCTCTACTTCACGCCATAAATCTTACAAAATTTTTAGATTTGACAGGTATCTATTTGCTACCTTACTTTATAATTCGGATAATAATTTAATATAATATTAATTTTGTAATTAAGACTTTAAAATTTTTGACATATTTACCTAATTAGATTTGTTTTAATCGATACTTTTCGAGAAATAATTAGTTTAATTCTTACAATCTCTCTATATGTTATTTATTAGACCAATTTTTTAAATAAATTTTTCAAACATGAATAAGCAAACAATAATTAAGAATAATTATGAACCATTTTTACCTTTTATTATGTGCTTTGGCTGCATCTAATCGATTCATGTCTTCATGAAGAAGAAACTTTTTGGCACCAATGGCACAATTTCTTCATATAGTAAAATAAACACTTATTGGCCTTAAACTGCTTTATTGTAAATATTATCTATTTGAAATTAAAAATATAATACACTTACTTGCAATACGTTCTAATATCAAAAGTGGAAACATCAAAAAAAAACGAAGCAACATTGTCTTGCGGTACTAAAGACATCAGTGTCAACCTATTGGCATTGTTGCATTTCAATTCATGGAATGTAAAGTAACTCACAGCACAACTGGCCACGTATACTCTTCTTTGGAGTTGCACTAACCTAATTTACACTTTACTTGAGGTTTTTTCCAAAATACGCACAAAGTGCATGATATATCATTTGTCCTTATTATTCACTGAAGAATAAGTAAAGATAAAATGATACCTCGTGCGCTTTATACGTAATTCGGAATACACCCTTATTAGAGAAGAGACGGTGTAGCTAATACAGCTTTAACTATGTAATCCGTGGATTGAGAATCCAAAAGTATAATAAATTAGGGAAAAAACAAGAAATTTGGTAAAAATAGGTACATTTTTATAAACACATAATCATTTATATAAAAATTTCTCTAAAATATGTATAATAGATATACGAGTAAATAATAGATAAATAGAAAGAATATATTCGTAAATTGTATTTCATACAAAGAATGAATATATCGGTCAATAATAACAATCAATATGATCGTTTTTTAGCTTGCTCAGGATTCCTAAAAAACATTTTTTCTGTATCGTATTATTAGGAATGTTAAAAATAAGAATGTTAAATATTTTATTATTAGATTCATTATTAAGAGAATTCATTATTAGAAATGTTAAAAATATCTATTAAGTGAGGAAAAGCTTGATCTATTTAATTAATAGATAATTAGATGCCGTTATGATATCTTTTTCATGACTAATAAGTGAATTATATAATAAAAATTTTCTCTCGTTATACTGCTGAGCTATTATTGTATATTATGTCAATTTACATTCTTAGATAAAGATAAATTGAACTCATAATAAAAAATTAATTTTTTATCATTTCTGATATATAGATAAAGCTATAACAAATAAGTGATCACTGTTAGTTCACTATAGACTAAAGTCGCATTGTCAAGCTTATACTCATTAATTTTATTTTTTTTTTTCTTTTCATTTTACAATTAAATTTTATCTTTTATTTTTTAAGTTTAAGTTTTTTGGACGTATTAAAGTGAATCTTTAAATCTTTAATAAATTGAATTACCTTAGAAATCTCTAATCTTTTTATATAATAAAGTTGAAGTGAAAATTGACATGTGCAAAATTCTATAGTAGCGAGAGGTTAAGACAATGAAATAAGAGACAAAAAAAAAGTAGAATATTAAACTTTCACAAATAACAATTAGTGAAAATCGTGACAGATAAGCCTCACAAACGTTTCTTTGACTAACTGCACACAAATTTTGCCATATACTTTTCTCAAAAACGAGATTGGAATAGTTTGAAAAATTACGATTTTAATGGTCACAAAAAAGTAATAGATCTATGGCTATTCTGAAAAGATATATATTTACGTGCATAAATTTATATACGATAAACTTGCATGAAAATTTTATCTCGAAAAGTAAACATAATCTCATCTTGATTTCGCTCGATGAAGATGCAGTTCTTGATTTACTTTCATATGTTCCATACTATTTCATTAAGATATACACATAGTATTAATATTTTATCCAAATTAATATTTTATGCAGATATTTGTAATTTTGGGTGGACCCTGAAGAAGCACCATGAATTTTCGGTACTGTATAAAAGAATCACCTTAAACACTATGATCTTAAGCAATCTATATACATAGATTATGACTTTTTTTATTCTCTCTAATAGCTATTAAGAATCCTATTAATTACTTAATAAAAACAAGAGTAATTTTCTAAATATCCTGGGCGTACTAAAAAGCGGTGTTATTGACTTTCCTTCTTGATACAAGAGATGAAAATGAAGATAAGAATAACCTCTTTGGTAAACTAATTTAATATTTAAATTAAAACTTACATTGGTTGATGTCCAGTGAATTTTAAAATCAGATCTATTAATATAGCTGGTAGAATATGCAATAACATTGTTAGTATATAGAATAGAACGAAATTTGGAGTAAATATTACATAAGGTGTCCAGACAGTTGCTTCGAAAGGTACCTCATTTGCAATAGTATACATCACATTTGCACAATCTTGATAAGTAAAGTATTTTATACTGGTGCAATTTACAATTAAAGGTGCGGAATCTGTAATGCTAATAATAAATAAAATTATAAATCGATTAAGAAATTAAAAGTAAATAAAAATAAACTTCCAATTTGCATAAAGTTCTATAAAATCTGTATTAAGAAAAGTCCCAGAAAAATAATTTATTATTTATGAAATTTTCAAATATATAAAATACACCGTATTATAAAAAAGTATCAATCATTTAATACGGTTCGAAAACCTATCCAAAAAAACATAAATAACATAAAAAACATAAAAAACTGTTAATTTAACATTTTCAGTTTTATCTTACACAAGGAGAAGATGTAGATAAAGAATGATCAAAAAGGGTGAATTTTTTATCTGTTTTCCGGTCCTCGATTTTAGAAATCAATTTTATGTTAAATATATAATAATAACTCATGATGAGACATTAATCATAAAAAAGTTTTTTTAAGCATGCGATTGGTTTTAGAAATATAGAGCATCAAAGGAGTCATGAATTACTAAGAAAATACACTAATAACGCTTTATAACACGAATTGTTATTGAATTTTTATGAAAGTCGATATTTTCTTTGAGTTGCTGAATCCGATATCAGATTTTAAAAATTCAAGAGGCGTATATGATATGGCAGATACTAAAACAATCATTTACTTTTATGTAAACTATTATATTAGTAGTTCTTTTTTTTACCAAATTGTGAATTATAATGTATATCAAATTTACCTTTACCTTTACCGATGACAAGATATAAAAAAATTATCTTCTTGAAGAAGCAAAATCAAAAAAGCTTCTAAATATACTAAATAACATTATTACGTTATCCTTTATGCATCGCCAACTTAAATTTGATTTATTTTATAAAAAAGTAATCAAAAGAATGCTTTTTCAATAATTGTCAATAATTACTTTTCAAATTGTAATAGAAGATTCGTAGGCTCAGCGAGCCAAAGAAATCACAGCATTACAATTTCTATAGAAGTGAATGATTGTTCTAGTGTTTGTGTCCGATATATAATGTTTGCCATCTTGAATTTTTAAAATCTAATATTAGATTCATAATGAGTAACTCAAACAATCTATAGATACTGACATTTGAGAAAATTTAACAAAAATTTGTACTGTAAAACGTTGTTAGTGTCATATTTTCTGAGTTCTTCGTAGTTGACGACCCCGTTGACCCTTTATATTTCTAAATCCAAATGTATGCTTAACGTAAAACATTTTGTAATTAATGTCTCACAATAAGCTATCATTTATTACAAAATAGTATATATCAAATATTTAGAATAATCATTTAACCCTAAAATTGATGACCAAAAAACAGGCATTTTTTGCGGTCATTTTTTATTCAAAAATTGGTTTTCAATTCTTTTGAATGTAATCTCTTTGATGACTAAAGAAAATATAACAATTATATAATGGTCTTTTACGTGTATTTTTTTAATTGTATTGTAAACTCGAATTTATATATTTGCAAATAGAGAAAAAAATTTTACAGTTCATTTATAATATAATAAAGTTAAAAAAGCAAGCATACATACCTGTGATCATACGTGGTTAATCCTACCTTCCAAGTTACGATTATTACAATTTTAATAACAATGTCTACTGGTACGAAATCTTCGTTAATAGTTCCGTTTGTATACATTACTCGTATTATTCCTTTTCCAGCGCCAATAGTAATTCCTATTGGACCATAAACATTATCTAGCCATCCTGGAAAAGGTTCTTGAAATGTTGACGCCACTAAGATGAGACACAATCATTATTAATACATTATCAGCAAACAAATTGATGTTATTTGTCAATAAGTTTGTTTTCAGCAAGTAGGGCATTTCTTAATAGATTGAAAGTCGCTAAATTCAAATCCGCCAGCTAAGATATCCATCACGTCAGATTTTTAAGATAAATTGAGCCAAAAACAGCGTTTTTTGCCATATTTACCATTTTTTGTATCAAACAAAATCGTGTGTGTGTGTGTGTGTGTGTGGAGTGTATAACACAAATTATAAAAATCAAAACCTTGAACGGACTAGCTGGATCTTAACGCTTATATGATTCTTATGTAAATTTATATACTAATATATGTCCCTAGATACGCGCCAAAATGATTTTTCGGTCTTGAAACGCTAAAATTACTAAACTACCGCAGAAATATTACGATTTAAATTGACTAGCAATTTAACATATTTTTGATGCTTATTTGCATATTCGAAATAATCTTAATAATGTTGAACGATATATTAAAATCTGAAAATAATTAATTCTTATTGCGAAAAATATTAGCTCGGATGGGAGTCAAATCCGTAACTTTTGCATTCCATAAAAATATATATTTATTCTTTTTTCCTATTGTATACACTCTTAATGGTATAATTATTATTTAAAAAAAATTACTCTATCAGTGCAACCATTTTATCCAAACAATGGAAATATATATATTTAGCACCCCACAGTAACGCATTAAGACTAGAAATTATTTTTTATATAATACTAGAAAAAAGACTACATACCAATGGAAGGTCTTACAATCGCACAAGGCAAGGAAGAAGAATAATCTTGTATTACCTTTTCCGCAAGGTTTTTTGAAAAAATGTATGTATTGGGTGCATAGTCCAAACACCTGTACATAATTTTAAGTGCATATAGACTTAAAAATTTGAATATGATTAAATTCTTATAAATAAAACAAAATATTCCAGTACACATGTATATAATGTATGAATGCATAATCGATTTTGGTTTGTAACTTACTTAGCCGTAAAAACGTTTAAAGTATGCTCATCCGATGTCTCAACTATTTCAATTATCTTTTGCCAATCAGCTATTGGCAGGTACACTTTTTCATCTACAAATGGTTCATTCATGTGTGCAAATGCTGTACTAACGTATACTAATGCCTTTAACATATGAAAGCAATTAATTAAGAAAGTACATTTCTTTAAAAATCTTTTTCAGTTCTTATATTAGTGATAATGAATTTTATATTATCAATTTTAAAATACCAAACAAATTAGGACAAATATTCATTCGAATTTATTATATTTTGTATGTTATTATAATATTCGGTCTGTACATATATGATTGTATATATACAATTAGGGCTCATGTTCAGTACACGTCTACCGACAATTGTATCGGTATCAGCAGCGACAGCCGACAAAAACAGTGTTTTTTTTCTAGGATAGCTTTTGCCATTAGTTATCGTTAGTTATCGACAGCGACTGTCGGCAGACGCGGACAAAATATGGGCTCATGTTGGGAAAGTTTTACTTTGTAGAAGTAACTATAGTTACAAATAGGACAAACAAAAAACTAAGTAACGTTTAAACTAATAAAAAAAATTGTACTCAAACTCTTTATATAATTACTTAGACTTATAATAATAATATAATCTATGAATTTATGAATTCATATGCCTGCTTTGAAATGGAACACACACATTTCTTGTTAAGTTTGAAAAGTACACAATGATTCTTAAGTTTTTTAAGAACATTAAAATAAAAATAAAAGTTACATAAATTGCGTGACATGGGATAAGTTATTTAAATGCATGATCTTAGTTACTGTCTGACTTACGATTAAATTCTTCATATTTTGTGCTAAAATACAGATGTCTCTTGTTGCTCTGGTATTGGCAAATATGGCATACTTTAAACTATTATTGAATCTCACACTCGCGGCTGCATGAATTATTATAGTCACTCTTTCAACCAGCATTTGCCTGTCCGTAGCCGACAAACCCATATTTTTCTCACTGGCATCACCAGAAATTACAATTAATTTCTCAAAATTCGAAGGTCGCTCCTCGCGCAATTTTTCAAATAGCTAAATTAGAGAGGCGTTATAAATTATAAATCTGTATCGTTCTCTGTTGTAACAATTACTCTAACATATTTTTAATCAATCTTTTATAAAAATAAAATGTTTAATTTTTAACTAATGCATTTCAATATTTTGTTATTTACTAGTTGGAAAATTTACAAACATTCTTTTGAAGGATGATTATTTTCAGTGATAACATTAAAATAGCATTTAGTAATTCGTTCAAAAGTAATTTTTTCTATCAAACACTTTTTTAAAATTACGTAAAAATAACTTAACTAATTTAAAGAAATATAAAATTTTTTACAAAAATTTCTTTTTGTATATCCAACTTACTGGTAGGTTTAATATTTTACTGAGTCTTTCTTTAATACTTAATCCTTTCTTCGGTCGCATTAATAGAAATATTTCGCGAACATCTGGACAAGATCGTAAAACTTTTTCGATAAAAACTTTACCCAGAAATCCTGTTCCACCAGTCAAAAGTATACTTTGTCCAGCGTAAAATGCAGGAATCGACTTGGATGGATCTACAGTCATCTTGTCCATTATTTTTTAAATAAAATTGATAAAAACACTTAGCAAAATGTACAGGTAGTCGAATTTGATCGTCACTTTTACTAACGCGATAAATGTTTGTAAATTTGGAAACAATGCTTATATAGAAGAATGACTAATGAGCACAATATATGTTATTTTTGTTTTATAACCGTAAGACAATGAAATCTGTCGGATAATCAATGCTTTTAACCGGAAATGATTATAATTTTGCAATCTAAGGTTGAAAGAGCAAATATATAATTGTCCCTATTCGCCGATCAATCGATGTAGCGTCGTCACGTATAAAAATATAAAACGGATCTCTTGGCCACTTAACATGGTGAACATTATTGCGTATTTTCGTGCTGTTGTCAAATTCCCGACGCTACCACTAGCTTTATTTAAAGTTTTGACATCAACACACTTTTGATTAAAATTACTCAGAGTCTGAAACCGCAATAAAAAAATCTAAAAACACTATTTATTATATTAACTATTTATTATATTAACACTATTTATTATAGTAATGCTATAGCTATCTTTTCTTCATAATGTTATCGGTATCTAATTCCGCTCAATTATTTATCTATAAATATATCGTATAGTTTTCTTTTTTTTTAATATCAATTTAAATTAGGGAAACTCCGATTTATACACCTATCAAAAACTTAATTTATTTAATGTTATTTACTATGTTTAAAGTAATCGGACTACATCAGTAAAAACTTTGTACTCTCTACTATAAAAAAAATTTTAGAAATCTGAAATATTTATTTTTTTCATATTGTAAAATAATCTTTTTGAAAGCACTTTTGCCGTATATCCCATAGGGATGGGAGATATGTACGACTCATAAAAAATGTACAAATAGTGCATATAAATAAGACATAAAATGGCACATTAACATAAAATGCGTTTATAAAATTTTATTAAGGAATAAGAACGATAACTATGTATATGAAGTAATATATTATATAATAATTACAGTCTTCCTACATATATTACAAACGTTATGACATAAGAAACTTATTCTATGTAATGCTTTTATTGCATTTAGTGCACTGAATTTAATCTGCACACTTTGAATGTTTTAGACATAAATCCTATCTGCTAAAAATGCTGTATATTTCAAGCAGATGGATATACAAGACAACAAACAAAGAATACGAAAGCAAAGCACTTGTATTTGCTATACAACATGCTTTACTATTCCTCTCACGAAATAATCACTAAATCTTTTACAATAATCATTTTATGTAGATTATAATTTATGGTGACGCAACTTGTTACAGTGGTAAATCAATTCAAATCGAAATAATTTCATTAATATTAACATTAAGAAACTGAAATCAGAATACAATACTAATATAATATAATGGTATGTAACAGAAGTTGCGTTTCGAGTTGCGCATAATGCATCATTTGTCTTTATTGTTCACCAAGATAATAATAAAGAACGACAAAACGATTCACCATGCGCTTTATGCGTAACTCGGAACGCATCCAGAGTAGTAGCGGGAAATTTACTTCCACTCCTTCTATTTTTTTTGACTTCTTCGTCTTCTTTTGTAATATTCCGAGATACAAGTTTTCGTACATGTACTTAAATTATGGTCTCAAGACGTCCGTTTCACAAATTAAATTATTTTTTAATAAAAAAATATATTTCTATTAATTACACAGTATTATAGATCACTGACTGATTTGTTTATATTCTACATCATTCTAAGTAATAAAAAAATCAAACTTTTAGTTAAGAATTATTGTTTTATAAAATTGCAAATAACAAATATGTGTAAAAAATATTATATTTTTTTAAATCTTGTCCTATATAAAAGAAAAGATCTTATAAATATGTGAAGAAAAATATGTTACAATTCATTATATATGTATAATACAACAATAATAAAAAAACCTTTTATATCTGCAAATTTTTTATAAAACAGCGTTAGTTTATATAAAGCTATATATAGCCTATGAACAGTTTATAAATTTCTCTATACCGTGTAAAATTTATGTTCACACATAATTTTTTACATCATAGCTCAAAAATCCATTATCGAATCTTGTGACCATAACATCTTTTGTTTGCCACATTATAAGCTATATCGTATATAATATATGAAATTGACTTATTTCACCAAGATCCAACTTTCTATATAATTACAGCGAAATCTAAGTACTAAATACAATATATGAAAATTTGCGAGTCCCGATAAAATAAGTTAGTATTTATTTAGATTATTATAAATTTTTATACAATAATAGAATAATATATGTCATAAAGATAAACTGAAAATTACTTTAAAAAATGTTACATATTCATCTAATTCAATAAGTACTTATAATTACATCTTTAATATACATTTCTTAAATAAAAATTTTTGCGTGTCTATATACAAAGTGTCCCATTTTAAAGGGTCCACTGAAATGTTGGAAATACATGGTGTTAAATAAAAAAATATTATAGACAAAAGTTTTTAAAGGGGACATAAGATAGTATCATTGGTTTGACCTTTAGTAACGTTGTTAAGATCAGGGCAAGGTCATTTTTTTTTAATGGAACTCCTCACTTTTTATTACATATATTCTGGTAGCTTACTTCGAGAGCTTTATAAAACACTATCATAAAATGTTTTTTCTTTAAGTATTTTGCGAGTTATATAAGACTAAAAAGTTACAGTACCGTCGACATTAGCATTACCGAAGGTCTGATTGATGGTTAAAACCCCTGAAATGTTGTTCAGGATCATGACCTGGATAACATTTGTCAAGATCAAGGCTACTGGAAGTTGTTCATTTTATTTTCATTTTCGCACTACGAATTCATTTTTACATAAAAAAAAAGTTATCTATAATTCTACGGCAATCTTTTATAAAAAGAATTAAGTTACTTAATATATGCAATTTAATATATAAATATACAAGAATTTGTTTTGTAAATTCTTTCTAAAGAATGTCATTATCATTATATACACTATATGAATTAAAATAATGATCAGAATATATTCAATTCTTGTTAGTTTTTTTTGTTAAAAACGAGCTATCTACGAGTGTTGTAAACTACATAGGTCAAAATCAAGTTAATTTCAGTTACATCATTTAAGTTTGTCTTCAAATTATATTTAGCCAGTTTATTGGTTTTTATCATTTTATTATTCCAGTTGTAACTAAAAAAATATGTTTTAATAAATTTCACTTTCGTTGAGTTTCAACATGGAAAATAACACGACAGATGTGTATATTAGTTCTTTATGCTAGACTTAGTATATTCATTGTCTGAAGATTTGACCTGTTAAATTCGCACCTATTTTGTGTTGTGTGTTAATTAATAACAATAATAAAGAATAAGGACGTTGAAATAAAATTAACTTTAATTTATGTTTTGCAATTAACATATTTTTATTGATATTATTTATTTGTTTTACTATTTTATTAATTATAAGTTTTACATAGATATTATTTGTTGTCATAAGCTGTCTTTGCTGAAAAAAGGCCTTGAGAATTTGCAAGTCGATTTTTTAAAGTCACATAAAGATTATTTTTACATCATGAATTAAATGATTATTTTTACATAATCCACGTTCTTTCATTAAAAATTATTTTTTTTTCAAATATAACAATTTCGACAATTTTCTATAAAATTAAGTTATTATATTATTACTTTTGATTGATAGAGTATTTTTGTTTAATGCATTTGTGACAATATATATATATATATATATATATATATATATATAATTAAAAAATCATATGTTTGCGTTGTGTCACTTTTAAATTAATGGAGCAATATAATATTATCTAATAGTTTTGAAATCTAAATATTGTATTAATTAATTATATAATATATCAAAAATTTTCCCAATAAACGGGAATAAATTAAAATAGATTGAAATTTTATCTATACAAATACGTATTTTAAATAAAAAAACATTTTTTTGATTTAATTGGATCAATCAATTAGATTGAATTAGATTCAACTGGATTCAATTGAGTAGAAAAATTGCATTTTCTATTCAGAATTTTTAATTAAGAAATATTTATAAGATACAGGAGAAGGTAATGTTATTTTTGAAAGCCATAGAAATATACTTCAGAAGTATATAAAGAAATCTAAATCCATTTCAATCTATTCTCATTTAGAGCAATTATAAATTGAGGAAAAGGAAATTGGAAATTGACAAAGTTGGGTAGTGCTAAGTTTAAATGATAAAAATTGAGTTAAAAAGTAAAAAGTTAATTAATTTTAACTTATCTTAGTTATATATTTTAGACTCTTAAATTTTTAACTATATTTAGTTACATTTTATATATATCGGTAACTATTAATATTTTATTTAATTCTTTGAAGTTATGTCTTAGACCTAATACGCGGCAATAGCGATAACTTAAAACAAGGTGAAAATTGCAAAAATGAACAAATTTACTAGGTGTTGATCAATGAAATTATACATATTCCAATGAATTTGCTCACTTTTGTAATTTTTACATCATTTCAAATTACACAATCAACCCCCAGATTTCAATCTGTTACAAATCGTACATTTCTATGTATTAATCGTGTATTTCAATGTATCTAGTTCCTGATAGGTTGAAATCTATTATTCCTTACTATCGCTATTCCCTTGTATTGTGTCTGAAACTTTAGTCATATTAGAGGCCAGTATTCATAGTCAAATCTTATATGCTAAATAATATATATAAACAAAATATGTTAATAAAATATAGAGTATTTCCTAAATAAAATATATCTGTCATTTTCGTTATTTGTAAGATTAGAATCGTAAATAAAAAAAATCTGGAAATTGAATTAAATAATGCATAAGTTTATTTACATTTATACATTGATTTATATATTGTAAGCTCAATCAATCTTATAAATAATTGCAATATTATACATATATTAAAGACAACAAACATTATCTACGCACGTAACTACAAGTTGCTTTTTATATAGACATTAAAAATATAAAAGGTTTTATTCTTATCTAAATAATACTTTATTCGCTGCTTTATATAAATACCTTCTGTATTATATAAATATTAACAAAAAATTTAATTCTAAATAATAAA